GGTGACTCGGCTCCACTGTCCGGATTGACCACTCTCCATGAGAAGCAACATGTTCGCAGCCGCGTAGTCTGTGTCTGAGGAATGTTTGGCCTTCGTTCATTTCACCATTGCACGCTCTCCCTGTCCCCTTCGCTCCACACTGGCAGGGTATCTGCTGAGTCCTGTGAATCTCCGCTGTATGTCACAGGATTCACTTTACTACTGGGCCTCCACAGGGCCTCCCTAAATAACCCCGTCTCTACTATTGACTTGGCTCCAACGGCTGCTAAGGTCTGTGAGTCACAAGCTTAATCTCTTTAAAGAGCCTTTTTACGTGTGACTGACACTAAACCATCATGAGACACATGGTTACCAAATACTCTCTTCTGTTGGCTGGTCTTCACTTTTCATAGTCTTTTGAAGCATAAATTTTCTAATTTTGATCAAGTCCAGCTCACCTATTTTGTCTTTTGTTGCCCGCACTTTGGGTGTCACATCACTGCTCAAACACTCTACAATCAGTGAGGCCCTCTCCGCTTCCGTCTGCACACACACACACACACACACACCCACACACCTCATCCTCTTTTCCTCACCCTGCTTTATGGTCTCCTCACGACTTATAGCCACTTAACGTATTACTCATCCATCACGTTAGAATCTGTCACTTTCCACTTGGATGTAAGCTCCCTGAGGACAGGGATTTTCTTTGTTTACTGCCTGGAGTCAGTGCCTAGAATCACACCTGGCACACAGGACTCCCTGTGAAGCAGCTCAAGTACCACTGCTGGCCATTCGTCCCAGGAACTTTTCTGGAAACAGTGGTGGATTTGTTATTTTCCTACATAATATAAACCCCTTTATTCAACAAGTAGGGAGGCCTGGTGGCAGAGTGGTTTAGTGCTTAGTGGTCAACTGCAAGGTCAGGGTTCAGACCACCCAGCCGCTCTGGGGAAGAAAGATGTGGCAGTCTGCTTCTGTAAAGATTCCAGCCTTGGAAACCCTATGGGGAAGTTCTACTCTATCTTAGAGGGTTGCTAAGAGTTGGGATCAACTTGATGGCCGTGGGTTTGGTTGAGTTTGGCAGTCAACAAGTTTCTAGTTGAGAACAAAGAGGCCAACAGTGACTGGGTGCCGGACTGTGAACATGACAATCACCCCTATGTACCTCCTTGCCACCTACTCTGTGCTAAGGCACATGCTGATGTCTCTGGAGAGAAGTGCCAACTCCCACTGGGTTTCTGAAGTTAACACAGGCCATGCCTTAACTGGGAGGCAACATTTGCCTTCTCTGGGTCAAAAGTTCTGAAGTTAGGGACCATCACCCCCAAACAACAACAAATAAATAATACATATCTGGAGCATGCTCAGCAGTGATGCGTGTGTGTGAGTGTGGGGCGGGGGGTGTTTGTGTCTGGCTGTGGTTAACCAGGGTAACCCAAATTCCAAACCCACGGCTATCAAATCAATTCCAAATCACAGCAACCCTATAGGACAGAATAGAACTACACAACTGGACCAATAAGCAGCATCACAATAAATGAAGAAAAGACTAAGTTGTCAAAGATTTCATATTACTTGGCTCCACAATTAGCACCAATGGAAGCAGCAGTCAAGACATCAGATGACATATTGCACTGGGCAAGTCTGCTGCAAAAGACCTCTTTTGAGAGCAAAGATGTTTCTTTAAAGACTAAAGTGCGCCTGACCCAAGCCTTGGTATTTTCAATTGCCTCATATGCATGAGAAAGTTGGATAATGAATAAGGAAGACCGAAGAAGAGTTGATGCTTTTGAGTTGTGGTGCTGGCAAAGAATATTGAAAGCACCATAGACTGCCAGAACAAACAAAGTCTGGCCTGGAAGAAGTGCAGCCACAATGCTCCTTGGAAGCAAGAATGGCCAGACTTCATCTCACCTATTTTGGTCATGTTGTCAGAAGGGACCATTCCTTAAGAAAGATGTCACGCTTAGTAAAGTGGAGGGTCAATGAAAAAGGGGAAGGCCCTCAACAAGATGGACTGACACAGCGGCTGCAACGATGGGCTCAGGCACAGCAGAGATTGTGAGGCTGGTGCAGGACTGGGCAGTCTTTTGTTGTGTTGTGCACACGGTCACTATGAGTCGAAGCCAACTCAACGGCACCCAACAACAACAACAATCTTTACAGAAGCGGACTGCCGCATCTTTCTTCCCCACACTGGCTGGTGGTTAGAACCACCGACCTTCTGGTCAGCAGCCCAGTACTAACCAGGGCCCAGCCAGGGTTCCTTCATCTGGCGTCACAGCCTTCTCTCTCTCCTTCCCCCGCCCGCTCCTACTGCCACAATAATAACATGATTCACCTGCACATGTCAAATGGAAAGCTGGTTTTCTGGAAAAAGAAGCAACCTGATGGCCGCAGTACAGGAAAAAGTAAGCAGAACCACACAAAGAAGCTTCAGCAAAATGAAGCGCAAAGAGCGCTGGCGCGAGGACGCAGGGCGGGGCTGAGCCGGCTCTTAGGTCCACCGCCACGCACCAGCTCGAGCCGGGGGAAGCCACTGGCTTCTAGTCTTCCCTCCTGAGAGCTAGAAGTGGGCTACGAGACTTGCCCGGGAAAGCAGTGGGAGGGCTGGAGGGCGTAGTTTCAGGAGGAAATGAGCATGTCCCAGTGGCTCCAACACTAGTGACAGGCCAGCCAGCTCACCTTTTCAAATTGAGCAACATTAGACAGACTATTTTCCTTAAAAATGAACAAACAAACAAACAAACAACCATTTCATTTGAAGCCTGAAGGTCGTAAGAGGATGTTAATAAAGGGAAGTTGGGGGCTGCAAAGGAGACCACTCTGCCCTGTGACATGGGTGTGTCTCCTCCCCTGTGCTGGGGCACTGACCCCACCACCTCAGCGCCACGGTCCTCTCAGAACCTGACCCAAGCTTCAGCACGTCGGCAAGCCTGAGCCACAGGCTCTGGTTCTGACCCCGCACCTCTGGTGGCCCGGAACAAATCCGCTGCCATGCCCTCCCGCCCGCCGGCACTCAGGGCGGGCACGGTGCAGCCAGACCCTTTCGTTTGCAGTCAAAAGCTGCACCTTCTTATAGGTGGAAAGGGGTGCATCTCTGTGTGAGGCGAGCACTCGGGAAGGGAACCCTGCGCCTGTGCCCACGCTGATTCACGGTCCCCGCACGGCAGGTACCGCATGCATGTGGACGACCATGGGCTGGAAACTGTGCAACTCAAGGCCCTGCCCAAGTGTAACCATCCATGATCGCCTCGTCTCATCTGCTGGTGAAGGCTGACCGGCAGTCATCAGCCACTGTGAGGACCCATCACCAGCGTGGCAGCTACGAGCTGACACTGGTTGGATGGGCCTCTGGGTACCAAGCCCCGCCAGCATCTTTACATTGCAAGCTCAGCAGGAATTCCACAGGCCTTCACATGCACTGGCAGGTAAGAGAGAAACAAAAAGCTTATGAAGTTAAGAGCCATTCTCTTGATCTACGTCCAAGGGTTTCCTACTTCTTGAATACATGTTTGTCGTCTCCGGATGATAGCCAGGCCACAGGTTAACAAATAGATTTATAGTTATTTGCTACCAAGTTAAAATAATTCTTTCACTCTGAATTTTGCTACCAAGGACACTAAGTAAAGTCTCCAGTGTTTGAACAGAAGCCGGTCTTCCTGCCAACCCGCCCCACACGTCCTGACGTTGCCCTCCCCTTCAGTGCTTCCAGGGGTACCTCTCCTGGCATCCCGCCAGGAGCACAGCCCGACTCAGCTGCCCTCTTCCACCCAACAGTCCACTAAGAGGAGGAGGAAGGGATCCTTCATCTTTGTGTTGCCCAAATCCACAAGGCAGCTGTTACAAGTGGAGCTGATAGAAAGGTGGATACAGGCGCAACTTTAAATGAAATCAAGAAAAACATACAGCGCTTAGCCTATCTTCTGTCACAGAATTTAAAGTATGGCCTTTATATATTTATTTTCCCCCCACCTCCTATTTCCAATAACCAAAGTAGGGTTACTGGATAAACAGGCTGAAGTGTATTCTAGGTTCAAGTGGGTGGGAGGATGATGACCTTAGGGCTAGAGGAGGGGTCCCTTGGGGCTCAGGAAGGGGAAAGAAACCTCATCCCAGAGCTACTTCCATTATTACATTCAAAGCCTGCTCAGCAAATTATCTTCCACGCATTCTTTCGGTAAACACAAAAACAAGAGCTTTTTCTAATGAATGTCACCTGAGTGTAATTCTTGGCGGCATAAATGTTCACTCTTTGCCTAAGTTTACAGCATCCCATGATTCTTTCAGAAACGCCCTCCTTGAAACCTGTACATTCTGAATACTGTCTTTAAACCTGACTGCACAATGCCCAGTCCAGAAATATAGACCAGCATGCCCTTCAATCACTTCAAGCCCCAAACGTAGGAAACCTGTTCAGCATCAGATAAATATCTCCGACGTGGGGTAGGCAGAGCACCTTGAAATAGTGCTGAACTAATCACAAAGCAAGGATTCTGCACTAGATGGGCAAGCCACTAATTAGATCAAGGGACATAAAACTGTCATGGCTGGATAAAAGGATAAGGGGAAATAAGCTGTAATTACCGTTTTATCGTCAGAGAAAGTAGCATCAAACACAGCTCAATAAAAAGAGGAGAGAAAACCAATAGCTCTGTAAGTAAGTACCAGCCCTCATTAAATTAGTACCAAGAGCAGAGACACAGCCCACACCTGAGCAACAACACCCCAACCACACACCCAGCCCCATCCCCCAAAAACAAAACTTGACTGTGAAGAGCAGGTAAGTGAGCACTAGTTTCAGGGTGCGGCGCGCTGAAGAACCGTTGAAGAAAAGGGCTACTTTCTTAAACCGCTTACAAGAGTCCCAGCCAGTCTTCAAACCACTTCATGAAGGGCTAGGGCAGAAATATTTGATGAGGTCATCCTTTTCAAAGCCTCATCGGTGCACGACATACGCAGATGGTTCTGATACGGTAGCTAGCTGCATTTAGACTTTCAGTTCTGGAGCCACTTACATTCTGTTGCTTGGAATGATCTTGTGCCCTTCTCGGAACCAAGTCACCTGGGGTCTGGGGCAGCTGGGGATGGGGATCAGGTTGAGAACAGCCGCGTGCCCTTCAGACGCGGTTCTCCTCTGGTCTGTGTCCACGAAGTTTCCCATATCTGCAGAGAAAAGTCAAACCTTCTAAGTTTCGGAAAAGCCCTTCTGGAGGGGTCAAAGATTTGGCAACTCCTGGATTTTCTGGCAACGCCCCTGAGGGCACAATAGGAGGCAGGAAGCCGAGCAGGCGGGGCACCAGTGACCAGCAGATGCTCTGGGAAGTGAGGCATGACCCGAGCTCGGCTCCCGTCCCCAGAAGCGCGTTCATCGGCAGAACCACATGCTCACTGTCTTGCTGCAAAGCCAGGGAGGGCTTTGCAGCTGATTTCAGTACAGAGGAAACTGTTGGGAAGCAGCCTAGTGCCCTGAGAGGCAGTCTCCCAACACCGGGGTGAAGTGCTTGGCGGCCTCTCAGCCCCCATCCTGTCAGGAAGCCCCGCCGCCCCCACCAGCCCTTCTGAGGCGACTCCCTGCTTCACGGGCATTTGGGAGCACTGCTCTCTAACCACTCATCTGCTGCCGGCGTGGGCTGCTGCCCCCCGACTGCCGACTCCATTTGGGATGGTTTGGTTCTATTCCAGTCTTTGTCCTACTAGGTAACTTTTTAAAATGGGGTCACAGAAAACAACAACAACCAAAAAGCACCAATTAGAGTATGGCCATAAGTAGCTAATTTTAAAATTAATAACATTTGAAATTTTTGAGAAATTTCCCATTATTGTCAGGTGTGGACACGTGCGTCCCAGTTACTGGGTGCTGTCAGCTCAACGCTGACTTCCAGAGGCCTCAGGCCCCAGAGAAGAACCGCTCACAGGGTCAGCCAAGCTGGGGCCCTGACCCGAGCACTTCGCCAGGCTCCTCCTTTGGGGTCGCTGGTGGGCGTGAGCCCCAAACCTTCTGGTTTGCAACAGAGCACTTAAATGTTGCACCACGAGAGCCCACCCATAGATATGGCATAAAATACTGTATTTTTGTCTAAATTACATTAGAAAAGTATCTGTGGTTGTTTTCAGGTGAAATTTGGTATCAAAAGGAAGGTGAGGAGAGAGAAGAGAAAATGTCCCATCTAGAGACAAGGAGGAGAAACTAGGATATAAATAATTAGGGAAAAGTCCAAAACAATTTCCTAAACCAGAATCTAATATATTCTAATCCCAAGCTGCTAATGTATTCAAGTATGTTTGGGGTATTGATCTGCAGTTTTTGTTGGTTAATTATGTTTTCAATTATTCAGTTGAATAAAAGTTCTGAATTACTATGCCGACAGATGTAGCTGAGTGACTTACCAGCACGGTTCAGAAAAACAGAAAGCTCCTGGGGGTTTAACAAATCACAAAACGTGTGCGGCGGCAGCGCCTCAGCCCGTCATCAGTAATTACTGAGAACAGCGAGGAATTATCTCAGCTTTTACAGGAGACACAGGCAAGGACAGGCCTAACTGGGACCTGAGTGACAGAAGGGAAGAGACTGCCTCCCTGAAGAGCACTGCCAGGGCGGGTGCTGCTGTGTTCTCTGAAACGAGTGTGACGCTTGAAAATACGCTTTAAAATTCTTAGCGGTTTGTTGTTGTTTACTTTTACATTAAGCATTCTGGGAGAAAATTCAAAACGTAATAAAGCAGACGTTTTCGTGGATGGCACTGTACCCCCAAAAGCACGTGTCACCTTGGTTGGGCCATGTTGCTCAGTGTTGTGTGTTATCCTCCATTTTGGGATCTGATGTCATTTTCCCAGGTGTTGTCAATCCTAACCCCTAACCACTAACCAGAAGGCTGGCAGTTCAAACCCACCAGCCACTCCTTGGAAGGAAGACTGGCAATCTACTTCTGTAGAGATACCGCCTCGGAAAACCAAGGAGGGATCACTATGAGTCTGACTCAATAGCAGTGAGTTTATGATGTTAATGAGGCAGGATACAGTCTACAGGATTAGGGCTGCATTTTGAACCAATCTCTTTTGAGATATAAAAGAGATTAAAGAAGGGAGCAAAGATCAGAGGGACCTCAGGACCAGGAAAGAAGAGCTGGGAATGCAGCGCATCCCTTAGGTCTCGGCTCCCTGTGCTGAGAGCCTCCTAGACCCAGGGGAGGAACGCTGCCCAGACACGTGGAGGTCTCCAAAGGACACCGGGTACACAGATGCTGAAAGGAGACAAGGACCCTTGTCCTGAACAGTGAGCCAGCAGCGAGGGAAGCGTGCCCAGAGTTGGTGCCCTGAATTCAAACTGCTGGCCTCCAAACTGAGAGAACACTTTCTGCTCGTTAAAGCCCCCACCTATGATTCTTGTAACAGCAGCACACATGACTGTGATACTACTGTGAACGCATCCTGGATCAGAAAAAGGGGTAAGTGCTTGGCATAGGCCAAGTTTCCTTCTCTCTCCTGAAGACTACCGTATTTTTCACTTAAATTACACATGCTCTATGTTTCTGTCAATGATATTATGCCAGAACTGTTTTACCTAATCTCACTAGTTGTGTGTGTGATTTATGTGGGTACGTTAGTTGCACCATACGATGGAATCCACGCGCCCCGCGTTCTGACCTCTGGCATAGTGACTTCTAAGTGGCTCCCCTCCACGGTGGACCTGCCCGTGCGAGAGCGGACCTGCCACTGTGCCCTCACCGCCCCCCCCGGCCATGTGCTGTCTCTGTGCTCTGCCTGCTGTGTGGCTACAGGGTAACAAGCCAATCATCACCAGAAAGAATGGACCAGGAACTGGTGACGCCGTACATAGAGAGTTTAATTCCTTTTTAACATTTCTACTCTGAATGCCATGAAAGTAAAGAGTGCCTGATTCATAAGATGCCGGGTGTCTTGTTCACGTCTTCAACGCAGCACAGTGCTCTGGAGGTCTCTTAATTGGCTGAATTAAAAGAAGAAGTGCCATTTGCCTCATTAGCCCCATCATGCAATCAGCCAAATTAGCTGTTTAGTTATCTATTGCCACCCATTTTTACTTAGTAATTACTCTGTTCCAAACAGAACCAAAGATAACAATCTCAGCGTATTGAGAACGTTTGGGAGTGACTGTCACCGGCTTCCGCGGACACATGGCTGCTGCTATTTCACATTGGGGCATCTGTGGAATGCACACGTACATGCGACTTGGACTTCCGATTTTCTCTGCAGAAGTGCTCCCATTCTGTTTCGCACCACGCAGCGGTAAGAGCCAGCATCGAGCCTCTGTAAAGACGGGATGATGTACCTGCCAAGTGCCAAAGAAGAAGTGTTACCAAGACCAGCAGTGGTACCTTGAGCAGTGGATGCCCAGCGAACATTCACTGCTATAAACTGATGTCTACACCACCACCCCCTGACCAAGAAGTTGTACTGCTGCAGTTCGTCTGACACTATCTAAACACTGTCTGTCGTCCCTGGCAGACAACAAAGTACTCTGCCAAGTCAGGGGCTACGTCTGCTTTACTGTTCATTGTACTCTTGGAGCCTAGCACAGTCCAATGAGTATCAAACATCACTCACTTCTGGCTGAGTGACTGACAAACGCTGAGTGATTCAGAGTTAACTGTATTGAAACTACACCTTCCAATCAGTAGTTATTATAGGTGTCTTTGCTGGCCAACTGGTCATCAAGTCGTCTCTGACTCCCACCGACCCCTTGTGTATCAGAGCAGCAGTCAGTGTGTCTCATAGGGCTTTCGATGGCTGTATTCTTAGAAGGAAACCACCAGGCCTTTCTTTCGAGGCACTGCTGGGTGACCCTGAACCGCCAATCTTTCAGTCAGTGACTGGTCAGTGACCGTGCGCATCAACCAGCCGCACTACCCAGGGACCCTATGTCTCTGCTGAGCCTCAGAGCTTCCAAACGTTATTTCTAGAACTGACAACAAAATCTAAATATGGTAAAGTCAATTTGCTTTATAAAAAAGTTCAAAACTTCACGGATGAGATTCAGACATCCCGAAGGCAGAGGGCAATGACATCACAGCCCAATGACACCCTCTGCTCCCTGCTGCAGACACCTCCCACCGTAATTACACACTTCTCTCTTTTGCTTCTCCTCATCAATCCTGACACTGACTTCTCAAATGACCTTGGATGACTGAAAAGGCATTTGGGTCTTCCACTCCTACAAAGGAGCCCTGGTGGCACAGTGGGTAAGTACTCAGCTGCTGACTGAAGCAGCGGTTTAAATCCACCAGCTGCTCCTCAGGAGAGAATACCTGGCAATGTCTTAGAGACACTATGGGCCAGCTCCTCTTTCCTACAGAGTCGCTATGGGTTGGAATCAACTCAAAGGCAACAGGTTTGGTTCTTGGTTATTTTATGCCTACTCATAATTATCCTTCCAACACTGCCTGTCTAAAAATGTAAGTCAACTTTCCTAGACAAAAAGCTTGCATCACAGTCCTGCTTTTGGTCCTGACAGTTTCACAGAGTGAGTGGATATGACCAGCGATCACCTGATGTGAGTGCCACCGCTCCTGAGCTCACACCTGCCAGCCACCTGAGATGAGTGCAAACAGGTCCCTACGCCACATTCACAAACAAATCAAGAGTGAGGGGAAAGCGAGAGGCCTGGATTCGGCGGCCGCGGGAGTATGTCCAGCATGTTGTTGTTGTTGTTGTGTGCCATCGAGTCAGACCTAACGCACAGCAACCCCTCCTTGGGATTCCGAGGCAGTATCACTACGGAAGTAGATCGCCCAACCCTCCTTCCGAGGAGTGGCTGGTGGGTTTGAACCGCCAGCCCTCTGGTTAGCAGTCAGGTGCCTTAGGCACTGTGCCCCCAGAGCTCCACGGGAAGGAAATCAGAGAGCTGAAGTCCATCGGATGGTGCCTACCTTCTGAGAGAGGGGCACGTGGCGGTGCTCCCGCGACTGGAGAGATGCTCTGCTGAGTGCAACGGACAGCTTCAGATGCTTCCTCTTACAACAGAAGCAGAGACTTGTGCCAAAGGCCAGGCAGAAGGTCTAGCATCTAGCAGGCTCTGCTTGCCCCCCGCCCAAGCACACCTAGAATCACTTCTGTCCAGCTACCAGCTCATTCTTTCGTTCAAGCATGTCCAGTTAGTCAACCCGAAAAAGGAAGTGAGCGGCATCATTTTTTTGTTCAAGCATGTCCAATTAGTCAACCCAAAAAAGGAAGCGAGCGGCATCATTTTTAAGTAAATAAAACATTTGGATAATACTGGTAATTCTGAATTGAAGAAATGTTAATCAAAGTATGCCTTCCCTCTGGTAACTTTCTTGAGATCCTATGATAGAATTAATAAAATCTTTTATGAAGAGAAAAAAAATAATATTGCTGGCTTTTAATCTTCAAAATTTTTTCTGCTACGAAGAATGGTTTATCTCAAACAAAAAAAATTAGTAAGTGGAGGTGATCAGAATAATATCAAACTGAACACAAGGAGTCAACAGCATTTCTTTAAATTACAAATCAAGATGAGAAGATGAGCAGCCTGATGATTACAATAAGAACGGTGTGGAGATCAGTTAGACACAAAGTCAGCAGAAGTTCTGGGGAAAGAACTGCCACGGGTCACTGGGGTACACCCTTGAAAAGGGCCAAGGACAGTTCAGTCACTACAAAAACCACCACGTTTACACACTGTTACTCTCTCTGCTTTCCCCTCATCGGGCATATCATAAGTGGATGTTAAATTCTTATGATCTCCACCATCACCCCGTATATTAACCCACAGGAACAGCACTGTGTTCACACAACAGGCAGAAGCAGCGGCAGCACCGAGGACCAGGCATATGCTGCTTCCTGCTCTCCCTTTAGTCTAATGTCTCACCAGGGAAAAAGCACACACACAGCTGAAAAGCCCTCCACCTACGACGGGCACTTCTACACCGATTATGCTCACCTACCAGATGGGAACAGTCATTGTAAGCCTATTGTTTATAAACACACATTTTTAAGCAGAGAAAGTTTTCTGTCTCTTTATAAGAAAGTATGATAAAACCGTAGCACCATATGCCACGAAAATCAGAAAACGCCTGCTCCCATTTCCAATAAACAAAGCAGGAAATGTTTGCTTTCACTGCATTGAAGCAAAATTCTACTAGACCAACACAACGTTTTACAGGGCCAGTTCAATATCAGGAACCACAGATTTGAGAAAAATCAAACACAAAATTCCAGCCAAATCAAAGACATACATGTTCACTTCTTCTGAGAGGCTAGACGCCGGTTCTGCCTCCACTCCGCATGGCACGGCAAAGCACGATTTCTCCAGGAAGCAGCCTGGGTGCGTTTCAGCCCAGGAACCTGAGTGGCAAGCCCCTGGGTACACGCCGGGCAGCATGTCAGCCGGGGACCTGAGCCGCTCTATTACACGCAGCGTTCTCCACTCTGTGTCTTGGTGGAGGCAGAGCATACGTCAAGCATAGGCCAAAGAAGCTACCAGCAGGTATTCCCAGACCTCTGCCACTGTGGACACAAGCATGTGACACCGTGCCCAACTGGACCCAGGTGATCTGGAACTCCAAATCGTCAGCTGAGGGTGGCAAAGTAACAGGGCTAGTGGAAACCTCATTCAGGTGGCAGTGGTGGGGACACAGTGGATGGGTTACAGTGGAGCATAAGACAGGACCAACTGTGGCAGTGGCTCAAGGAAGGATGGCCAGCGTTGCGTCATCAGCAGAAGCCTCATGGGACTGACTCTGCACGGGGGTTCTGAGTCTGGTGGGGCGCTGCACTGTGTTCCTGCACCATCCCCAGTGAGCCCAGTGATTCTGAGAGAGACCACCATGCATTCAACAAGGTCCTTTTCCCTTTGACTAAGACAGAGTTTGCTTCTGTGCTTTGTAATTAGGAACACTGATACATTCAGGAGGGACCCGTCCCTGGAGAAGGGCTCACGCTCAGTGTTCTGGTTCCCCAGTGCCACTCTGACAGGAACAGACCACAAATGGGATGACTTGAACAAACAGTTTATTCTCTTACAGTTTGGAGGCAAGAAGCCCGAGTTCAAAATGCTAGTCCGCCTCAGAAACTTGAGGAGGGGTCAGTATGAGTTGGGTTTCTGAGGCAGTATCACTACGGAAGTAGACTGCCCAACCTTCCTTCCGAGGAGTGGCTGGTGGGTTTGAACAGTCAGCCTTCTGGTTAGCAGTCAGGTGCCTTGGACACTGCGCCCCCAGAGCTCCTTATTTGTATGTTTATGTGTCTGCATGTATGCACGCCTATAAAACCTGATCTAATCCTCAACCAACCACCCATTTGCCAGCGTGGTCCCCTGCACCTGAACGTGGTTATGTGCATCACCGTGAATACTGTAACATTTAATCCTCACTAGAACCCCCTGTACTATTTATCATACAAGCAGCAAATAAAACACTATTTTGGTAAAGGCTGAGAAAGGAGAATTTCTAGTATTTTACCCTTTGGTGTAAATTATGAACATGCTGCTTCTACAGAGAGAAAAATTTCAGGTAGAAAAGCTGCCATTTTCATAGGCTTTCCATGTTTTCAACGTGGGACTTACGAAGTCTCATGGAGGTTAACATGTGACAGTGAAGGGGCTCACTGGAGATAGCAGGCGAAGGAGAAACTTGAAAAAGAGCCTGAGAGTCTCAGACCGGTTTTCTGTCTTGGAAACAATGACAAAGGCTGTGTCTGAACCTCCGTCAGCCAAGCATCACTCCTCGGGTCTCCCCAGCAACATCCCTTCTTCTGATGGAGCTCCAGAGACGCGGCAGTGAGGCAGCCACTTAATTTAAAGGCTCACAATGAGACATCTCCTCAGTCTTGTCAGTCCAATCAATAGGGCTTTGTCTTCCATGGTTTCCACAACGGGCTTCAACGTAACACGTTTGCTAGTGGAAAGAGCACCGCAGAAAGAGTTTCTGCTCTATTTCTAACGTGACACCAAAATATGTTTTGTTTTGAGTTTAGATAGCCACATAGCTAGTGATAGCACACCGCATATTTTGGCATTTTAAAATAAAACTGTTATCCTATTATTTTAAATGTAGCCAATGAAATCTAAATAATATGATTTTTGATACCCACAAGATACATATAATTATTTTGTTACTTTATCAATCCTTTATTCATTAAAATGAGTTCCTTTTTAACAGAGATTTCATACTGTTCTTTTTCACCCTTTGAACTTGCTATCAAATCTATTTTTACCACAGAATTTTATTGTAATGTATTTTCAGGCCTGAAAGATATGTTTCATCAGTGATCATACTTCTCTGAAATGAGAACATGTCTACAAATTGAACAATT